TGAAAACCCTGAAACTTTTTTTCAAATAACAGCTCGGCACACATTTCTACATAGCATGCAATAAGGCACCTATCTAACACAAGGAAGAAATCTATGCTACTGTGTGAAGCACAAATGTTAACCAAAAAAGGAAAAGAAAATATTGCTCGCTGTAATGTTCACTCTCATAAAAACTGTATATCTCTCATTCCCTTTCATATAACCCAAGCCATGTCTAAAAAAATACATCAGTTTGTAAAAGATATCTTACACAGAAATAAGAGCGCAACCCATTAGAATTTGGAAAAATCATTGAAGTCTTGTAAAATTGAGATTTCCTCAGATCTTCCTTAGATCAAATTGTGATAGTTTGCAGAAAGTAAGAGTTACCTATATTCTATACATATTGATTTAGTCTCCAAAGCAATAGACAAAGTGTGATATTGCATTTCATGTACATTTGGTGCAAGGGGTACAGCGGAAACTGCACAGTAAATAATTAGGACACAGGTCTTGTTGTAATATGCTACCCAGTAGGTTTTTATTTTCTATTATGCATTTCCTAATAACTAAATTGCATGTCATAATAGAATCAGGGTGTCAGCCAGTATTGCTCTCTGTACAGTCGATGCAGCAGCACTAACCCATCGTAGACATACAAGAATACAACCGTATAAATATACAAGATGGCTCATGTCTGATGGGGCCCAAATTCCAGAACAAAGCCGCATGAGAACACCTTCAACATGTTGCTCTCCAACACTTAAAACAAATTAAATGCATAAAAAAAAAAAAAAAAGGTGGAGACAAAGTTGATCAAAGTGGATCTTACTATCAAAAATGTAATCTTTTGGAACAGCACACTAGTCACCTATACACATATATAAAAGAAAATCAGTATTTACATTGGATTTTGGATGTTTGTTACACATGGGATATGGTGGTGGAAAAGAAATAACAATTGAAATTGAGAAATGTTTTTTGTTTGCCAAATTGTGTTCGTAGCCTTGGATAAAGAGGCAGCTGAAAAGCGCATATGCCCACCTACATAAACCCAATTCTCATCAAAAAGACCAACAGATGGAGGCATATTTCCCCCAGGTAATAATTATTTTAGATCACCAAATCACATTTTTAAGTTTTATTTAAAAGTGTTCAAAAGAGGTCCTGAAGTGAAGCACAATCACTAACAAGAATAGAGGCTCCTTCACAATCTATTATTATTCCCTTTGCATACTGAGCGCAAAGTCCCGGGTTCTGCTCTGAATTACAGGCTACACGGTCCGTTTTACACCTGAAGACTTGTGTTACTGTCCATTTATTTGCAGCCACTCCACTTCAAAGCGGGCATGACCACCGTTGTCTCTATAAGTTGGCCTGACATTTGGTGTGGTGATGTCAATGATGGGACCATTAGTAGAACAGAAACAGAGGGGGGAGATGGGGGTTTTACTCTCGCATGGGACAGCTTGTGAGGGCGGGAGAGGGTGCTCACTGGTCTACATGGATCCTATGATGTCTGGAAAGGGAAGATGAATGGTTAAAGCCTTTTCCACAGTGGGAGCACCTGTATGGTTTTTCAACGGACAGGCTGCGCTGTTTTGGGAAGGCGTTGTTGGGGAATCCCTTCCCTGTGGGGATGGTGTTGTACTGCTGCGGCGGCGATTGTGGTGGCTGGGGCTGCTGTTGCTGCTGCTGCTGTTTGCTCTCCAAGTGAACTCTCTGGTGCCTGGCGAGGGAGGAGGAGTGATTGAATCTTTTGCCACAGTGAGCGCAGGTGTAACTCTTTCCCTCCGAGTGGACTCTTTGGTGCCGGGACAGGGAAGAGGAATGATTGAAGCCCTTATCACAGTGATGGCACATGTAGGGCTTGTCTCCCTGCTGGTGCACCCTCTGCTTTGGGGGAGTGCCGTAGGACAGGGTTTTCCCAGGCTGAGG